TGCGTCCAGTCCTGCTTATCATCTGTATTTAATTGCTCTTTGGCTTTGCACTCACCGAACTCCCGTTTTGAGTCGGTGACTTTCAGTGTTTTGCTGAACATTCCTTTTTCCAGGCCGCTGAATTTGAGGTTAACAAAATGAATCCTCCTGCTGGTCCTCGTTACGTTCCACTACTCTCCTTGCTGTAGGCCGAGCTGCTCAATTACCTTTTGTCTTCAACTTCAAAGGCATTTATTGAATCCACAGATCAGTCTTTGTGCAGGAAGCAGTTTTATACTGGGTTCAGGAAGACATTTGTTAGATTATTTCTTAAACTCAGCCCTCAATTTGTTAAGGTTGTTTAAATTTTCCTAGATAATTTGCTTCTTGACATGCTTTTGAAGTGCAGTTCCTCCAGTGTCTATTTTTGCAAGGTTACGTCTCCGTTTCTAACCTCTATTCTTTCCCATCTGCTCTTGAACAGTGTCTTCCACTATTTGATAGCTTTGACTTTCTACAATACTTTCTTCTGCTTTACTGCTGTTTACTTTTTATACCCTTTTGAATTATTTGTCTCCTTTGCCATGCCTTGTGCATTTTAGGAAGAGAATGAGAATCAGCTTTCTTCCAAATGGATTTTGCTGTTTTTTCTCAATGTGATTTTCTTAGGCCAATATTTCAGTCTTCAAAATCCCTAGTTGCATGTCTTTGTAGGGCTGCTCGGCTCAGAATTGTGTTTTTTCACACTGGAAGTGTGGCATTTCCAGTGTTCCAGGACCATATATAACCATATGCAGAGCACAGAGGCTCCTGCAGCTAGCTGCATACCCCCAACAGTTGCTCACATGGCTAGTGTCTCAGGAACAAGCAATAAAACCACAGCTTCTGAGAACAACAGCTTCTTCACTGGACTAAGGAGAGGCACATTGTAAACATGAGTGAATCTGACTGAAGATAAGGGTTTGACACCAGGGCACTGAGAAGGAATACGAAGGACACCACTCCTAGTCAACATGCTCGCTTACAAAAGCAACATTGCTTTAGAAAAACAAAACTGAAAGATGTTCTGCTTTGGAAGGTTGTTTCTGTCTCCCATCCTGCCTATCTGAGAAAAAATGTCATACGTGAAAAACTGCAAGCCCCCAATTTCCACAGGGTTTCTGTCAGAGGTGAGAAAGGTGTCAGTGTCACATTCAAGAAAAGAAATGGCTCCCAGGGCAGTCTTGTGTAGAGGCCTCTAGAGTGTTGTGGAAAGCTGTGTGGCAGGAGGCAAGGCTGAGCAGGGAGCTGATACAGAACAGTCTGCAAGGGGCAAGGACTTTCTACAGCCTTCCATACTGAAACCTGTTTTGTTGAGCAGCTTTAAGCTACTGTTTGTTGTGTTTACAAAAAGAAAGCTTTGGTGACCCAAGGGGTAGTAATATAGAAAACAGAAAGCAGAAACAGATTGCCTAAAAAATGCTACTTATAGAGGTTAGTGTGGCTTCCACCGCAGGGGAGCTGTAGCAGAGCTGTGCAGACATCCACAGCAAGAGCAGCTACTGTGAAAAGCTCCCATGAGGAGCTGGGTTTCCATCAGCAGCTCATCAGCTGCTTTGGCCTCACAGCATCCCATTAACTTAAATAAATAAAAAAAAGGACAACACAACATAGTTAGAGAATCTGGTTCATTGGAAACAT